CCCCCCGCCCTGCCCCTCCCCTCCCCATTCCGTATAACCCGCCACCTTCCCCCCTCTCCCCCCCAAGCCAACTCCTGCAACGACATTGAAAGGCCATCACTATCCAGACCACAGCGACACCGGAGGATGCCCACCGGCAGGGACAGAAGTCGGGGCAAGGGGAAAGGGGAAAGGGGAAAGGGGGCAGATAGCAGAAGCGGGTGGCGGTGGCGTCATAAGTTTCTAGCGATTAAGGGTGTCTCATGTGATATGACCTCACTGTCACCCATCCTACGCTGACAAACAGCCGAGCAAATTAAGCTGTGATAGCAGAAGTGCCTACCTAACTATAGGCTTGGAAGGTGTGATCTGTAGTATGAGCTTCTGGATTCTATGATTATGAAGGTCGGGTGAAGGAGGTTGAGGAGGGTATAGGGTTTAAGGGGTTTAAGGGATAAAATAGGTCTGGCATTCTAACGGGGGGCTGCTGACCAGGGCTGGGCTAATAAATACGGGATGCTCTAAGAAGGGAGGGGAATCACTAGCAGCTCCATGGGACAACGGAGCCCCGAGTCTGAGAAGAGAAAAGCTCACAGCCGCAGGAAACAACAAACAGAGATCTCCATGTTATAAGATGTATCAATGGGACGCTGGACCCGGTTTCCAGCAGGTGCTGCTCCCCACCAATAGATGGAGCAGCCTGACAGATAAACCCTCAATCCTGACAGTTCTCTTACCACTGCCGGGATAGAGGGTTTACATAATGGGCTATTCGTTTTAAAAAAAAAAAAAAAAAAACAACAACAACAACAAAGAAGAAGAAGAAGAAGAAGAAGAAGAAGAAGTTATAACTTATAACTCGTTTTTGTGACTCTATTGAAGTCACCCCTTCTTTCTTTCTTCCTTCCCCATTCGCACTTCCCCCCCGGCCCCTGCCTTGTTGCCTGGACATTTTTGGAAAGATGAAATGATTTGAATTTGGGCGCTTTTTTGCTGTCCACGATTCTGGCTCAGCTTGCTGAAGCGTTCGCGAATGTTGAAACTTGATTCCATACCCCCCCAAGTTGGCCGTCACTATCCCCCAAAAGTTTCCCGTGCCCTTCATTTAATTCCCACTGCCAGATGTCAGTCAGCCAACATACCTACCCCTCTTGACGTGCAGGAGCATACCCAAAAGCACCGGTTACAAACCGTGGGAATGTGTAAACTGTCAAAGTCAAGAATAAACGGGTGGTGGATCAACTGACCTAGCGGTAGCTCAGTTGGTACAGAGGTACACCCATGAACTGCTGAAATACAGAGCTGAGTTTGAATTCCGATGCATCAGAAACAAGTTCGGTTTGGTCAGCAACTCAAAAAAAGAATGTAACCGGAGGCAACAGCATTGGCAGGATTTGAGAATGCCGGATCACATAGCCGACGACAGTTTTTCTTTTCGGTAGATAAGTTGGGGTACATGAGGAGGCTGAAGAAAGGAAGGCCCCAACCACCGTGAGGAGGCTGGAGAAAGGCAGGCGGCAACCACCATAGCCAGGCATTGATGCCGGAGGCTGGGCGCACCTGTCTGGCACCTGCAGAGCGACTTCATTGGTGTCTTCAGGGAGGGAGATTTTGCATGCTGAAGTAGCGAGTGGTTTTCAAACAACAACAACAACAAAAAAAAAAAAAAAAAAAAAAGCTGGTGCTATGTGGTCCATGATGAGGAGGGGGAGTGGAAGAGCTCTTTCAAAAACAAAAACAAACAGGAACGGGGTACTTCTGCAAATGGGTAGTACGCTAAGAAGGGTGGAATTGGAAATGAAGCATATTTATTTTTTACCTGTGCAATTTCTTCGAGGTCGATAGCGTCCAACATTTCAGCCACAGTTTTGTACGCCACAATATACGGACTATCTTGAAGGAGATGAAACCTTGTCATCACGTGCTGGGTTGGTTACACATAACAGATACATCATCAGAAGTCCCCCGCGTGTCATAAATTGATAAATTAATAGTAAATGACAAATAACTATACAGTTATCACCAAACGCACCCCCTCCCGAAAACAGGAAAGGCAGCTTGTCTGAAAGAAAAAAAAAAACTTTTGAAAGGCTGTATGCGTCTTTACAAGGCTGCACATCCAAAAACATAATAATAGAAGCCACACACACACACACACGCACTCACGCAAAGAAAAAAGGAGGAGAAAAGGCAGAAATTTTCCAAAAAAGAACTCTCAAAAGGTTCTGTAAAAAAAAAAAAAAAAAAAAAAAAANTCGGCCAGCGCTTTCTTTATGACACGACTCCTCACAGCCTCGGAGAAATCAGTGAGGGAACAAAAAGGCAAAAGGACCATGGTCACGCACCTCCCGGAAGCCTGTCTCTTATACACATCTAGATGTGTATAAGAGACAGCTCCTTTAGTGGCCCAAAAGTTTCCTAAAATTTTGGTTTTCAAAACTTTAGAAAGATCTGGGGGTTTGAAAAAAAAAAAAAAAAAAAAAAAAAAAAAAAAAGCTCCACATGGAATTACAATACTATTATAATAATAATGATTGAAAAATAAATGGTCTTTTGAGCCCTTTGAACCCTTTTCACATTTATTTCACATTTATTTTGCATTTATTTCGCATTTATTTTGCATTTATTTCGCATTTATTTGTTTTGCATTTATTTCGCATTTATTTCGCATTTACTGTTTTTATGCTGAAACGGATTGCAAATATTTCACTTCTCAACGTGGAAGATAGAGAGAGGAGAGGGGGGGTGGGGGGGGGGCCGGCTCACGGCTAAAGCCCTTTTCATGGCATTTTTTAATGCTCAACACGGAAAACACATTTTGGAGTGGGGACATTATGGGACCCCCCCCTGTGACAAGGAAGACGGAGAATTCGGGGCCCCAGGAGGATTTTATCAGAGACTATCAACTGTTTTTTTTTCTTTTTTTTTTTCCATGACTGGTCCAATGTGGACCCCCACTCAGCCCCCTCACAGACTTCCCTGACCCATTCCCTCTCCCCTCCGGGCCCGATGTCTGGTTGAGTCGGAATGGTTCAGTCTAGACTAAGACCAAGGTCCTACGGGCTAGGGTTTAGGGTTTTGGAAAGATTGTGGAAAGGTCAAGACAATACTGAGTATTTAGAATGAATGAGGGTTTACGGTATTAAGGTGCACCCACAACTGCGAGCTAGTAGACATGGCGCCCACCAGCTGGGTGAAGAGGTGGTTCTCGCAGTATAAAGTTCTTCATCTCTCTTTTTTTTTTTTGGAGACAAATGCTCCAGTCTATTCGTGGGGAGCAACACGTGCTGGGAACCGGGCCCAGCGTCCCATATAGAATTATATACCAGGGCCATTACCTGGCTTCGGCTAGGAACAATCTGAGAACTTTGAAGATATTCTAGAAAATTTAGGAAAAGACATGGGTAACTGCTAACCTATTGCTAGGCTACTCAAGCAGCACTTACTAAGTCAAAACGGCAAGCCACAGAAGCCCTTTGAATGCTCCGAACCCCTGGAATCCCCAACAAAAGCATTCTAAAATTTTCTAACACTGTCTTATTCCCTGCCGAACTTTCCGAGGCCTCATGCCCCATCCTGCTAAGCGGAGATGGTGGTTCTGCTGCAGTAAGTCTTGCCGGAGTGAGGTAAAGAGGACTGTTGGGGGTTCGGGGGTTCTGAGTCGTTTGTTCTTAGCCGAAGCCAGGTAATGGCCCTGGTATCTCAAAAGAAAGGAGGGAAGGGGAGGGAGCTAGAACTGGAGGATGGAAGGCAGTAAGGGGGCTCTTAACAGAGGAAGGTTGTTGGTCAAGGTAAGTAGGTTAGAAGGACGATGCTGGGACGACACAGGACGGTGCTGGAGCTTTTGCTCTGTGACCCAGGGGTGGAAGGCATAACCAGACCGTTCGACGTAGTCGGCGCCGGGGTATTAACCCTGTAACCTATGTCAGGGGCTTGCCGCTAAGGGAAATGTCGAGGGAGGAAGGCACTTCCTGTCCGTCACAACTAGGTTGGTCAGTACTGGGGAAGGTTGTGGTGCCCTGTTACCCTAGCAGAAGGGGGTATGAGATCGAGTGAGTTCTGGTACGAGGACTGAAAACCTGGACCGACGTTCCGTCTGTTGAGGGGGGAAGTTTTGGATAGTAGGTGTTTCAGTTTTGACCCCCCCACTCTCATGTTTTCCAAGCTTTTTCAGATTTTTTTCTGAATTTTAGCCTATCTCATGAGGAAAGTTCTGAGAATGCTTTAGGATTCTGGGCACTTCTTGCAACTCATTTTAGGTTTTTCTAATGCTGTTATATTCATGGATCTGCAGTTTTTCGATGCCAGAACGACGCTGGCTGGAGCTGGGGGGTTACCCTGTAACAAGTTCTTCATCTCTCATAATATATGTCATAAAATATCACAAACTATACATCAGCAGATGTTAATCATGTTCCAATGGGATGCTGGACCCGATTTCCAGCAGGTTGCTCATATCACCCCTCCTAGGTAGTAAGTCTGATCGGCCTGTTATCCCTAGAAAAGAACAGAAAAAAGGCCTCATGCTCCAGCATCGCTATGGGTTACAGGGTGGCACAACTCACCCCTGTGCCAACCGTCGTCTTTCCCGCCTCGGCCAACCTCAGGCCACCGGAAGTGACGGTGAACCCAGGACCTGCTCGGTGCCGCTTAGGCAGAGCTATCTCTGTTTCTATTTGCCGACGTGGGAAGCAGGCAATATCACCATTATCTGTCCCTGAGACAGCCCCTACTACACGTTCCTCCCCTGAGTCCTGGACCAGAGCAACACCGGTCTCAGTCATCGGTACAAACCAGGCCACCATCCATTCCTCTTTCCTCTATCATCTACTGGGTCTATTCTGGTCTTTCCCCAGCAAGGCCCTACCTTGGGACTCTCCTGCTTAATCCCTCCCACTAACAGGACCAGGAAAAGTTAGAGATGCCC